ATAAAGTGTATTGCTTTTCCATTATATGTTTTAAGGAACTTTTGTTACAGTATTCAGCTGTATTACATGGAATCACATACATCATCTTATATTTTGCAGTGGTTTTACTACATAGCAATAAAATATATTTTTGAAATCATGTTTTTTTTTTCCTCTTTCCAAATAAGACCCAACCATGTAGACTTCAAACACAATGTGTTTATATATAGTTTTTACAAAAATTCAAAATACAATTTGTATTTATGCAATCTTTCCTCTCCCTTACACGGTAATATTAGTGAAAAGGTGCCGCACAACTGTCTGAAAAACCACTGAAACCATGTAAATAATAGATGCACCTGTATTGAGTGTCAGTAGAAGGCCATACTGCAGCAGTGGCTCATTTTCAACCCCAGAGGCACGCATCTCTTAACCAATGAGGAAACAGTCTGTGGATCAGGCAAAGACCTCCTCTAACCAGAAAGAAAGCTGGATAGAGGCACAAGAACAATGGTTATTTTTTCTAAACTTATTACGCTGGAATTGGAACTGACCAAAAACCAAGTATATCATCTTACCTGTTGAGAGTATGCAGGCCCAAGAGACTACCAAAGAAAATATGTATAATTCTGTGGTGGTCTTTGCCTGAGAAAAACAAAAAGTGACATATAAGCTAATTTTTGCACATAAAATCATATTACCATAATTTATACTTACACACTGAGGTGCAGACAGGGTAAGAACGACTGTACAGAGTCCCTGGATAAATGTGAACAGCCCAAATGAGTGAAAAGCTACCCTGATGCTCTTGGGAACTGGGTCAGTGAGTGTAAGCGCTAAAGCCAAAACTTCAGTGGGGTGAGAAGGGTTGATAATTAGTATTTCAAATTGAAAAGCAGACAAATATATGCAAAAAAAAAAAAAAACATTTATAAATATCAAATTCAGATTACCTGTTGCTATGAAGGAGAACACAATGAAGGCTATGTGATTGTTTAACAGTGGCTTTTCACAATAACGAGACGTTTTTGGCCTGTGAAAACATTACTGCAAAATAATAGACATATCACATGATAACAAGCATAAGCATATTAGCACTTTTATCTGCGAAACGTTATATAGCTCACTTACCTTGACAAAACATACAACTGTGGTGCCAAGAAAAAGCACCACAAAGATGAAAAGAACAATCTGACTGCCAGAGAGAAACACTTTTGATTTTAACATGATTATGTTATATGTGTCACACTCAAGCTTTACAACAGATAAATAAAACAAAATAGTGTTTAGCATATGATTAGCACTTATTTTCTAGATAGATAGATAGATAGATAGATAGATAATGTTGTTCCCATTTTAACCATTGATCCTTTAAGCCACCTGCTGGTCTGAAAAGCTGCATGAACTAACAAGTGGTGAAGCATTGTACCGTCACCTCAGATAATCCATACAGCAGAATACACTTTTATCAGCAAGATGATTAAAGATTTTTTTAAATAAAATCTTAAATTGCATCTTACTGAAAATGTTTAAGTATTTACATAGTGAAATAAGTCTGAGAAGTCTGAGGGAAGAAAATTCATAGAAGATTTACAGGATTTACCAGAAAGGTCTAATGCTAGTCAGCATAGCAGGTTATTAGCTCTGGCAAGTGTAGAACCGAGATCATCGGTTGGGTAATATCAAATGACACCCTCTAGTGGTTTGTCTGAGTATAGTTTTAGAGATTAAAAAATTCTGGATTAGTCATTTTCTATGTGTAACAGGTTTAAGGCAGTGATCAGCATATTGTGTAAAATTCAGCGTTGACGTATAATAAAATGCAGAATTTTTTTTCACAAATAATTACAAAAAAATATTATATTTTATTGTAAAAAGTATTCCAATAATCTTTGTTTTAATTACAACTTCGAAAAAATTTTTTTTTAACATGAAGCACCACTATGAATTTACATACCTTATTTCACACTTCAAAGCCTTTAAAATAATCATGGCATGAAAGAATGAGGACTAATAACATCATGATTCTTTTAAGTGTTGTGTGTTAAAGGGGTCATATGACGTTGCTAAAAAGAAAATTATTTGGTGTATTTGGTGTAATGCAATGTGTTTATGCGGTTTAAGGTTCAAAAAACACATTATTTTCCACATACTGTACATTATTGTTGCTCCTTTATGCCCCGCCTTTCTGAAACGCGTCGATTTTTACTAAGCTCATCGGTCTGAAAAGCGAGGTATGAAAATGTACTTACAGGCTGTGAGTCAGAACAGAAGCGCCAGACTGGCCTTGCAAAGTTGGAATTGCCCCACTTTATAGAAACAGCCTTTGTTTATAGACCGCATTGCAGGCTACTTTCCCAGGTTCAGGAAACAGTCCTCCGTAAAATGCGTTGCACACACTTGAATATTTGGGTTGAACTGTTCTGGAACAGTGTTGTAAATACAACTTAACCACTGATTTGTAGTTGTGTCCTCTTTTGGAAGACCAAACAAAGTAGTTTCACTTTCACAATGAAACACAGAGCGTCTCCACGACATGGCGGCGGCAGCAACAATACTACAGCAAGGGCGTGGATGAGTCTTAACTTTTATAAAGAATATCTCTGAGTTTGAGACTTTAGTCTTTGCAACTTTAGGGATCTTATCTATGCACTAACAGCTTGTAACACTCCAAAGAGTAAGGAAAACTTGAAATCGAATCATATGACCCCTTTAATGATTTTTTCATTCACATATTATTATTGAACTGTTATTAGAAACCCATCTTTTCAGAAAATAATGACTTTTGGTCATTTTGATTTTGGTCTGCTCATCACAGAAGACTCACGGTGTCTTTTATTCATTTTGAACCTTCACTGCCCACGTTCACACTGAATAGGCTAAATGATGGCTGAATTTTCAGTGTGAACTTAGAATGGATGAATTACAAAACCCACCTCAATGCAGCCTCAAGACAACCTCATCTCTCAGAACAGAGGGTCGAGAAAAGATGCCTGCCTGTATGAAAGTTCAAGAAATCTGTCATTTCCACAGCATTTTGAAAGAAAGTAATCTATCTGGCTTTTTAGAAAATAGAAAAAGAGAGGACATTCTTTAAAGCCATCGCCACATTGTTAATGAAAGATAATGAAACGACCTCAAACCTACTGGGCATCTCTGATATTGCTAAATTCTTGCCAAACTGTTGTACCAGTTCAATCGACTGCCAAAGCAACATGTGTCTTTCGAATTACATTGTTCTCTTTGAGTTCCCACGGGACACATACGCAATTAGTGTAAAAGTTATGTTCCGCCTCAGAGAACAACCCCTCTGACCAAACCTCTAAAATAGCTTTTGTGTCTTAGGAATCACCCCTGCCCCATATTACTACACACAGACCTGCTGTGAAATACGACACAGCACATCTGCTTCTCTCATTTTCACACATGAACCTTTAAATTCCAGCTTCTAGGTTCAAACGCTTCAGAAACGCTTCAGGATCAACATCAAGCATGCCTGCAAACTACAGTGGAACCTGGGACATGGTGGACAATCAAAACTTTGAAGGTTACATGGTGGCTGTTGGTGAGTATATCTTTCATTGCCTCTCTCAGGGTTTTCATATTTTATATATTAGGTATTTTACACACATGTATAGTAGGCATTTTATTTTTTAGATTTTAAATGTATATATTTTTATATTTATTTATTTTAGTTGTTATTTCCTTTCTTATACATTGTGAATGTATTTACTAAGAATATGAATTTAACCTTCGGCAATGTAATATATGTAATACAGGAATTGATTTCGCCACCCGAAAGGTGGCGAGGATGCTAAAGCCACAGAAAGTTTTTGAGCAAGACGGAGACTCTTTCATCATTAAAACATTTACAACTTTCCGAAACTACTCCTGTTCATTCAAAATCGGTGAAGAATTTGAGGAAATCACCAAAGGACTGGACAACAGAAAATGCCAGGTTGAAAACATACACACACAGTCACAAGAGAGAGTGGCAGTGAAATGGTGTGTGGTCATAGTCTAGAGTTTTCTGTGCCAGAATTGAGAAATACTGCACTTTTTTTTTATTTTTTTACAGACAACAGTCAACTGGGACAACGACAAACTTGTGTGTGTGCAGAAAGGAGAAAAGAAGAACAGAGGATGGACACACTGGATGGAGGGAGACACTCTTTACCTTGTGAGTCAAACATAGGCCTTAAAATGGTAATTGTAATTTTCAAATAAAATGTATAAAATACCAGATAAAAAAATAACTTAAGAAACCTTTTTTCTCTTAAAGGAACTTAGATGTGAAGACCAGATCTGCAAGCAAACCTACAAAAGAACTGCTTGAACCATTGTGTTTAACTGAAATTCTAGCGTGTTGGTTGAAGAATAATAACATACGATTTCAGCATTAAACAGTTCTCAATAAAGCGAACATAACATTATAAAAGTGGGGAAAGCTTACTAAACAACAGTAGGCCTATAGGAATGCAAGAGTGTCTAAAAATCTGTAACTTTTCTTTTTTGTAGCAGCAACTTTGCTTCAAGTAAATAAAAATGGTTTCAATAAAAAATACCACAGAAAATTGCATATATTTGATACATTTATTTTAAGTGCTACAGCAATTAGATTAATTATTGCTTTGAGATCAAAAGGCTGATGTTGTCTTAAAATGCATGGAACTTTTTTTCTTTTTGATTTAAAGATCTAAAGAAATATTTAAGTACAGGAGACTGAGACTGGTTGGCACGGTTTCCTACATTTTGTTAAATCATGACTAAAATGTTGTGCAATTGTGTCAACTAACCCCAACACAGCAATGGTTTCTTTCCACACAGTATCGGACGTTTTACTTCGAAGGAAGCCACAAACAGAAATATTGACTTGTAACTTCCCCGTATGACATTATCATATATTGAAGAACTACCTATAAAAGAAACACGTTTATTTCTACATTCTTTATCTTGACTGACATTCGCTCCACATCAGTAGGAGGCGCTGATATGGCCATAATAAACACTGACGCCGTCACTACAACGTGAAGAACACACAATTCGCGCAATTTTTGTAATGGCTAAAAGCACATTTGAGTTGAGCTTCAGCTTATTTACCTACTGAAAATGGATGAGGACGAGGCACAAAAACAGGTTATAACTTATAACATTAAACTTAATGACCAGCTAATACATAATATCTATGATATACTTCGCTACCTTTGGTCATATACACGTTATAAAGAACCTTTCGGGTTTTTCTTCTCACATTGCCAGTATTTATATGCTTTTAGAGGCTTAAAGCTGCTGTGCACTACACTGTCGGCCGTCTCTGTCAAGACATCGCCGCAGACTGCGAGAAACAAATCACTAAACAGACAATAGCAGCTATTGCAGAGACTGCGTTCAGACAGTGCGGTAAGATTTTATTTTATTTAGAATGTGACGAGATTGAACGATATTTATTCACGCTCCTCTGTGTCTTACCTCTAGATATATTTGCCAAGGACTTGGAAGCGTTTGCGAGGTAAACTTCACCCTCAAAAGTAGTTTCTCCTCAGGAATTAACCACGTTAATGAAGATGCTTTTTTTGTGCTGATGGTTCTGTACAATGTTTACAGGCATGCTAAACGACACACCGTTACAGTGGATGATGTGAAGCTGACAGCGAGGAGAACCACGGCACTGGTAGGATGACTTCAGAAATCAAATGTTAAAACATGTTTTTGTAATCCACGTGCAAAACCCCACCCATTTTTTTTTTTTTGGTCTTGTCATAGAAAACTGCAAAAAAAGAAAAAAGAAATGCAATTTTCATACAAATCCTACGAATTCATACTGAGAACTGTTTTTAAAAAATTCAATAAAAAACAAAACCAAGTCTAAATATGAAATGTTAATATTTAAAGGCACAATATGTAATTTTCGCCGCTAGAGGGCGCGTATTCAAAATAAACAAAGAGGCAAAGGCGTAGTTTGATGACGCCATGACTGAGTGTGGAATCATGGGAGTTGTCGTCTTCATCCCCACAGCCGATGCAATCCAACGGGACTCCGGCAGAAATCATGTTCATCCCTACAGCCGATGCAATCCAACGGGACTCCGGCAGAAATCATGTTCATGGATGAGCTAATGATTTATTAACGTAGTAGAATGAAGCAGGGTGAGGCTGAAAGCCGTCGAAGTGAAAGGAGGCCGCTGAACGAGCGCGACACACGACTCGAAAGCAGCAGAGCTTTTATTATGCCACAGTCAACCGCTTCCGCTCCTTCCATTATTTCTCTGGATTTAAACACTCTAAGAAACATTTGGGATAATGCAAGTACACAAGTTGGCAAAATATATAACACTGTTCCTAGTGGTTTTTGGATATTTTAATAAAAAAATCTTACACTGTGCCTTTAAATTAAAGGGGTCATATGATGCTTTTTTAAAGATCATTATTTTGTGTATTTGGTGTAACAGAATATGTTGACATGCTTTAATGTTCAAAAAACACATTATTTTTCAAATACTGTCTGT